ATTTTTTTTCTTTAATCAATTCTTTTACATTTATTTTGTTCCTTCATTTATTTTTATGAACATAGGGATCTCAACCTTGACTCTCTTCTTTGTTGTCAGACTTTTGTTACTCGACCAACCAAATAGGGATCAACCCTGGAGATTCAGCCACCGTTTGCAGACGAACTAGACGTCGATGTTCTCGGAATCGGGAAGATTTTGAAGGATGTTGAGGAGGAGGGAATCGGAGAAGGAGAGTGTTACAGCACTCGCAATGGAAATTGAAACAGAGTCTTTCCAACTGCCTCAAACGCCGCCATTGGATACTCCATGGTTCACTCCAATCAACACACCATGGAGATCAACAAGCCCAACTCCAACAACACCCGCATTGATTCTCATGCCGCCAGGAAGCATGGTGTGGTGCAGTTGTGTGCTTCATCATCTGCCTACTCCTAGTCCTCTTCGGGATCTCAACACTGATTCTTTTCTTCACCCTCAGACCGAGAACCCCGCGCTTCAATATCTCTGATGCAAAAATCAGGAGACTGGATATCACGGACACAGGGTACTTCTATGGTGATGTGGCTTTGCTGGTCAATTTCACCAACCCAAACAAGAAACAAGATGTGAGGTTTGATGAAGTTACGGTAGAGCTCTGGTCAATTTCATTATATGTGATGAATGAAGATTGAATTTTGAGCAACTAAATCTGCAGCCATTGTGATGTTAACAAAGCAAACAAGACAAACTGTTATGAAAACTTAGGGTCTGACTAGTATGTCAGATGAATAACAGAATAGCGGAATAACTGAAAATTTACTAGCGGAATAAACTGAACTGAGTAATATTTTAGTTGAATAATTATGAAACGCTGAAAAGCTACTTTTAGTAAATTAATCACGTTTTATTTTTTTTAGTTATATTTTTAACACGCTAGCGGAATCACGTTTCAAAAACATAAAAAAAATTGAAAACGTGAAAACGTGATGAATAACATGAATGGTAAAAAATAACAGAATCAAGTTTCCAAAACGTGAAAACGTGAAAAAGCTGCATACCATTCAAAACCTTAATAACAAAGAATAACACTTTTTTACCATATTTGGAGTTATTCACATATATGTTTAAGGGAAGTTTTCTGATTCCGGTATTTCTTTTGAGTATTGAGAAAATCTTTTAACATTACTTGGTATGAACCAACATCTAGATTCATTAAAATACTCCTAGTGAAATTCACCGAACTTGATAATTTCGAGGGTGAGAATTTAGTCTAGCATTTTACTTTTAAAATAAATTGTATACTCGAAGCAATATAAATACTTGAAATGGACTGTTGTTCGTAGAACATTGTTCTATATAATGTGACGGCTTTCAATTGGCTTAGAAGTAACAATCGGATGCATGCGAATAAGAATGATAATGGTAATGTTTAAAAGTCCTATCTTGATAATTTTGGAAGATAAATTGAAGTGTGTAGAGAATAACAATGAAAGAAACAAAAAAGTAAAAGTTCAAAAAAAAAAAAAAAGAAACAAAAAAGTACAAATAATGAAGAAGTTAGAAAAGAGATAAAATGGAATCTAAGGAGAAGAAAATGACGTTACACCATCTTCCAAAATAAATTTACAATTGAAATTATGTTGAAAAAAAAATTAGATGATTTTGAGAAAATGATGCGGACGTATGACTTCTATGAGCAAAGAAACGCCTGAAACCAACTGAGCCCCTTTTTGTTTTACGTGAATTACGTGAATTATCGGCCTACTCTTAGTCATGGACATGGTGTGGTGCAGCTGTTTGCTTTATCATCGGCCTACTCCTAGTCATCTTCGGGATCTCAAACATTGATTCTCTTCTTCACTGTCACACCGAGAACCCCGAGCTTCGACATCTGCCAAGCGAAATCAGCACATTGGATATCAATGAGCCGGGGTACCTCCGAAAATGTATATTTGTATGAGCTTTGATTTTTAAATGAGATACATGTTTATATGTATAATGTATTGTATATATGTAGAGTTACGAGACTTCTCGACTATATAATAAAATAGAGGATAATTCTTATGTATAATTTCTTAAAATAAATACAGGCATCGATTTGTTTGAAAACAATATACTCTACAAGATTTTAAAATATCAAAAATACTATTAAACTGGCGTTTAAGAATTGGTCATAAAGATGTAGGATACATTCTTCAAATTTAAAAATTCTTAATAATTTTGTTTTTGTGATTTTAAAGCTGTGAAAGTTTTTGAAAACGAATTCAATGCTCACGAGTAAACAGTCACCTCAAGAACTGCCAGTATTGATAATAACCATTTGATAGATGATTATATTTTGCTTAACATATGCTTATATTTTGCTCATTTTTTTCTCTACAATTATTCATTTTTGTTCTTACTTTTTCTGTAATTAATTCTTTTACATTTATTTTATTCATTCCTTTTTTTTTATGAATAATCGCAGCTCTTGAAATGACTGTATCTGAATCAGAGATTCTCATGCAGCCAAAAAGCACCCGTACAAACCTATGGACATGGTGTGGTGCAGCTGTATATTTTCTACAAATAGATATATGCATCGATTTATTTGAAAACAATATACTATACAAGTTTTCGAAAACGAAACATATGGACATGGTTTTCTCACTATTGTTGGCTTCGTGGTCGTATGAGTAGTTACAACCAATGGAGTTATCTTTGAATGTTATAAATTATTCAATTCTCACTCTCCATTGATCATCACTTTAATGTTAACATTCCCGGCTTAGCCATATGGACATTCTTTAATGACCATACTATTTCATCTCTATAGCACTCTACAATATACAGTAGGTTCCAACGAACTGAAGCCTAAAGAAACCATACAAGAGAACCTTCTCATTTGACCGTATGTGATTAAATGGACTAATGCTCAACATAATTCCTCAAGACTTCATCTAGCCAAAGCATGTAATCCACTCTCAAGCTCCTCTTGCAACATGTCATATATATCAACCTATGTCTCTTCACCAAAATTTTGCCTTGGAGCTAAAATGTGTTTCCCCATTATCCCCTGCATGTCCTGCGTGCTAATACGAAACATCTCCAACTTCTAACTCCACATGATTAAGCTCTCTCTCTCTCTCTCTCTCTCTCTCTCTCTCTCTCTCTCTCTCTCTCTCTCTCTCTCTCTCTCTCTCTCCAATATCTCTCTTATCCTTATCCCGAGCAACAAAATCCGACTCATTTACAGAATTCTCAATCGCATCTGTTCCAAAATCCTCCTTTACACCATCATCGGTTCCCGAATTTGGAATCAAGAACACTTTATCCATCGCTTGCTTTTTATCTTGATTCACCTCAGCTTCCACTGCCAGCTTCAAGGCCTTCTTCTGCATCAGCTTTAGCATGTTAAGGAACCCATTGTTTAGCATGTCAGACTCTGCTGCAAACCGAGCAGTACAGAGAAATCCGGCGAAACTCGCAAAATCTCCGGCGGGGAACTTCCCGGACAAACCTAGAACAAGAAGAGCAGCTAACCCTTTGGTGAGAACCGAATCGGAATCAGCTTCGTACACTACATTACGTTCCTCATGCCCTAACCCATACATGCATGAGAACCACATCCTTCTACTTTTTATTCTCCCTCGATTGAAATCAGGAATCGAGCTGTTTCAGATTTAGCTGCTTGTACTTGGCCTTTGGTTTCGGAGGAGGAAGCTCTTCAATCGACTCTGAGTCGTCAAAGCTCGATTGAGATCCTGATGAAGCTAGTGGAGGACGAGGAAGAACGCTTCTGGGTTGCTAATTTCTGGAAGGTGGTGATGGTACGACGAAATGAGAGATCTTCCGGTGGATTTAGCGCCGACAAATTTTTAGGGCTTTTATTAGGGTAACTTGAGAAGCAAGATTTCGCCGGATAATGAAGAGAAATCAAATTCCTTTTGAACGGGAATAAACGAAGCGATGAAGCGTGGTAAGAGGAATAAATCGTTGCCATCATTCAACGTTAAGCTTTCAAAGAGAGAAGATGACGACAACGACGACGATGAAATGTATGTACTGTTAACTTGCGATACGATGTCGTAAGGTACGTGGTTTAACCGATATGAATTAACCCGGAGTTGCTGAGACAGCCGTCGTAACGGTACGTGGTTCAACCGATATTAATTGAACCGGAGTTGCTGAGCCCAATCGAGTGAATTTACAGATCCAGAAAGTCCACCAACCAGTGATGGGGTTGATTCTCATACTTTATAAAGTTTACGGCTCTTGTCACAAATAAATGATTTAAGCTTCGTCTTCGTTTCACCTTCACTCCATTTATATATAAATACACTGAAATCAATCAGGTCCGAATCCAGCTTATTGTTTTTCCCGATATTTTAATTGAAAATTAGGTCAATTGTTTAATCAGAATTAAATTCTCTCCCTTTCCTTTTCTATATTTTGTTTTTGCCGATATCTTATTACTCTTTTCGTCTGGATTTATTCCAGATCAAGTATACTTTTTTTTTGGTTACTCTTGACGTTTGCAGAGATCCTTTCAGCTCGTGCTGAATCTGGTAAACATCGAATCTCGGTTTTCAAAAATCGGAATCTGGATTTTTCAATTTCCACATGCGACTACTGATTTAGTGGGTTTAGGTAATCTGGGTAGTTTTGCATTGGCTGATCTATGAACTAAGAAGCTAATGATAATTGCAAGTCTCTTTTTTTCCGGTTTTGCTCTACCAAAGTAGGGTTTTTTTAGATTCACATCGTTATTATAGCAATGAGTTGGTTTTTGTTGAAGATTGTGTTCATTGGATCTGATTTAGCTTGTTTGGGAAATGAAATTGTAGACTAAGTGAGAAATGCATCTACGGCAATTTAGTTGAAGTGTTCTGAGTAATCAGTGTTTGGTTCTGAGAGGATGATGTTACTCAGCTTTCAATTTATTTGTAGGTTGTTTATGCGCGCAAGCGAATACAATTTTTGGTGGTCTTTACAAAGGTTTATTTAACAAGAACTCTTGTCGTAGGTTGAGAGACAAGATGGGTTCGAAGTCAGTTGTTGACATGATAGAAGCTTCTTCCAAGGTTCATTATTCTGGCTTCCACATGAACGGTCACATTGAACCAAGTGCGTTTCAGGAAACCACTTGTGCATCACCAGACGTTCAAAGGCAGCCTTTTGTAATAGGTTCACTTCTGCTTTTTTCTGATATGTTCAACTGAATAGTTCGGCAAAAGGGAAGTTTGACGGATGGTCTTGATTTGAGATGTTTATTTGATTGAGTTTGTGTGTGTGTCTAGGTGTCGCTGGAGGCGCAGCGTCGGGAAAGACTTCTGTTTGCGATATGATAATTCAGCAATTGCATGATCAGCGTGTTGTACTTGTTAACCAGGTAAAACATTTTTGTTTTCACTGATAGAGAGTTCCATGTTGCTATGTTTCCTGAGTAATGTAAGGAATAAAAAAGCAGAAGTAACGTCATTATATCCCACAAACTGCTCCACTAAAATTCCCAGAGATGGATGATCTGGCAGGACTCGTTCTACCATAGTTTGACTGAAGAAGAACTTGCTAGAGTTCATGAATACAACTTTGACCATCCAGGTAAAATTATCTTTGGGATGTGGCTTTATCTCTATTATATACTGCTGTAAATGCGTAATGCCACTAGTATACTCACTCATTAGAGCAAAAAAATTTCTCTGTCTTCCATTGGATTAGTGAATCATAAAAAACACATTATTTAGGGGCAGTTTCGTGATTGTTTTTCTCTCTTTTATGTAGCTCTAGCCTTTGTTTTCACATCCTCTGGTGGTTTTTTTTTTGGTGATCTTGATTCTAATGATTTGTTGTTGTCCTCATGTAGACGCATTTGACACGGATCATTTGTTGTCTTGTATGGAGAAACTAAGGCAAGGACAAGCTGTGGATATTCCAAAATACGACTTCAAAACTTACAAAAGCAGTGTCTCTAGAAGGGTACCATTTTCCTTCCCACTTAGAAATGTCGAAAATACTTGAGAAGCCTAGTTTCGTTCCTTGTTTCTCCTTGTGATGATAGTACTTTCCTGAAAGCCATCACTAGCTTCTATCTGGTTGAGGATTTAACAAGATGTATATTTGGAAAATGATCTGGCAGGTAAACCCTTCGGATGTAATATTACTTGAAGGTATACTTCTGTTCCATGATCCACGAGTCCGAGGATTGATGAACATGAAGATTTTTGTGGATACAGGTCAATCTTTCATATCACCTATTCTCTAGAAGAAATTTGAGAAATCTAGCATTACGAAAGCTCACATTGACTTTCTCTTTCCGTGCAGATGCTGATGTACGCTTGGCAAGAAGGATAAAACGTGATACTTCCCAAAATGCTAGAGATATTGGCACAGTACTCGATCAGGTTAGCCCGGGAAATTCTTTAACACTGTCAATAGCCTTGGATTTTTTCGCACATGTCTGTGTCTGAAAGTAAACCGTTTGGTGCAGTACTCAAAGTTTGTGAAGCCTGCTTTTGATGACTTCATTCTTCCAACGAAGAAGTATGCAGATATCATCATTCCTCGTGGCGGGGATAATCATGTGGCTATTGACTTGATCGTGCAACATATTTGCACCAAGCTGGGTCAGCATGATCTCTGTAAAATATACCCGAACCTATATGTTATACAATCAACATTTCAGGTAATAACAATACAGCAGCTCATCTCAATAATAGTCATAGTTACAATCACGAGTTTTAGCCACCAACTAAACTTATGTTGATCTTTCTCTTTCAGATACGAGGGATGCACACCCTTATACGTGATTCCCAGACAACCAAACATGATTTCGTCTTTTATTCTGATCGATTGATTCGGCTGGTAGGACTAAACTCTCACAAACAGTTTATGGGTTTTTCCCTTGTACTTGTCTCATTTCCGTCGTCTGATGTAGTTTGCGGTTGTTGTAGGTTGTAGAGCATGGTCTTGGACATCTGCCTTTTACTGAAATGCAGGTCATCACTCCAACCGGTAAGCAAGTTTTCCACTAGCATTGTATAACGATTATATTCCACAACTAAGAGATTTTTTCTGGTACCTTGTATCAGGATCTGTATATTCTGGTGTGGATTTCTGTAAACGGTTATGTGGTGTCTCCGTGATTAGGAGGTATTTTCTTCTACTAACTTAACTCTATTCAAGAGAAACTTCCACATACTGTACTTACCGGTTATTTTGAAATAATTCATAGTGGTGAGAGCATGGAGAATGCGTTGCGAGCATGTTGCAAAGGTATCAAAATAGGGAAGATCCTAATCCACAGAGAAGGCGACAACGGTCAACAGGTAAGAAATAATAAGCAATTATGTCTGTCCCAGTTTTTAAGATATGATGTTTAGATCCTCTAATAACACCGTCCTGCAGCTTGTTTATGAGAAACTGCCTAATGATATCTCGGAAAGGCACGTCCTCTTGTTGGATCCTATCCTTGGCACAGGTTAACCTAACCTTCCTTTTACAGTTGCCACCTACCTTTCTTCTCGGTTTAGTGGTAATAACTCAGTTTTGTAAAATGCGTTTCTCAGGAAACTCAGCAGTTCAAGCTATCAATCTTCTTATAAGGAAAGGTGTACCTGAGGGAAACATCATATTTCTAAACCTTATAAGCGTAAGAAATCGCACATATCTTTGTCTACTCCCTCGTTATTAGTAGTTATCTACTGAAGATTCTTTCATTTTATAATGTTTAACCAGGCACCTCAAGGTGTTCATGTGGTGTGCAAGAAGTTTCCAAGGTTAAAGATAGTAACATCGGAGATTGAAAACGGGCTAAACGAAGAGTTCCGTGTCATTCCCGGTATGGGTGAGTTTGGAGACCGATATTTTGGTACCGACGATGATTAGAAGATCGGTGATACATTTACCCAAGAAAACACCTCTAAATCTTCTGGTTTCCACCAGATGAAGGACCCCTCAAGCTCTGGGAACAATTTTGAGTACTTAAAGAATACCCCAGTGAGGGGTTCTGATTGATCAAACTCAGAACTTGAAACTCATGTACCATACATATATGTATCCTTCAAACTTTTGATAACTCTATATCCTTTTAATACATGCGTGATTTGTGTTTATTGCATGTGCATAGATGCAACTCTAAGCTCACATATGCGGCTAAAATGTGTGTAAAGTAGAAGAGATCGAGAGGATTGGTTTTTGACCCCATAATATCCCAAATTGTTTTTTTGGGGATAAAGGCAGGTTTATCATTGGTTAGCCTCAGTAATTCAAAAGCTAAAGCTGCTTATTTTGAGATCGATTAGTCAGAAATTCAAAGTTATTGTCTCTGATTATGTTAACGAGAGGATAAAGATAAGATAAATGTTAGACCGGTTATTTCCCGCCATAACATAACGGTCACTCGAACTCAACGAGTTTGGATGGATCCCACGCGCCGCTCCTTCTCCTTCATCTATGGCTTTTACTAAAAGCAATTCGATCAATATATTTTTCAGTTGGACCAAAAACTAAAAATGAATAGAGTGAAGCATAATCATTCGGTTATCATACATTCATACGGTTAAAGCCAAACCAAATAAATTCTAACGTATTCAAGGGACGATGTCATGTTAGAGGTTATAATACGGTTAGGTACTTAAATCCAAAATCGAAGACACACATGGACACATAAAATTGGACTAGTGAAATCACGAGATGATGTAATGTTAAGTTAGCATGTCCTAATACATACATCGAATCGAAACATGAAGTGGTTCCCGTACATTCCGGATAATCATCATTAGCTTTTCGTTCCTTTTGTCGGTTGCGACTCCAAAACCTTTCTCTTCATATCTTTATTACGTACTCGGAAAAATATGCTGTACTTGAATTGGAATTACTTGAAAATAAACTTTCTTTGTACATTTTATTCTTCGCAATATAATGGTCGCGGGTTATATAAATTTAATGCGTGACTAATTTAAGAATTTTTGTAAGTCACTATCAAAGATTCAAAATCTTGAACTTAAGAGAGTTTATTTATGGACACATGACTATGCACAACAAAGAGAAGCAACACTCATAGAACCGCAACTGTCGTTCTTACATTTGGTTAAGGCATGTGCAATACTATTACTATTGTTGTGTACACACGGTCTTTTTTTTGTATGGCTGCTTAAAAATGTTATTTGAGCCTCGAGTCATCTTCAATCTTAGATATTATACTACAAATATATATAATTATTGTATTAAAATGATTATTCGTAGATGATAAAAAAAAAATGGCGATTGTTGGCTGGAAAGTCATTGTTATTCAGACAACACATGATCATGTGATGGGGTGGCGCGTGGGTCCACGTGATCCCACGTCTAAAGCCTCTTTTCTCAATTTCACAAAATCAGCAAACATCCAAAACTTAAACAATTAAATTAATTGAATAGATTTTTTTTTTAAAGAAAGACGAATCTTTCCTCTGAATGTAACTCCAAACACTCCTTTCCTTTTTCCCATTTTTATTTTTTTCAAAAAAATTGTAAGGTATTTTTTTTTGGAGTTACAAAGATGTTTTCTTTTTTATAATAGAACTGTGGATCAATGTTCAAACTAATCTATGCATATACAACAAATATGTTTATGGCAATGATCAGACAGATTGGAATGAATACGAGTAATTTCTTGGATATAAGTATGAGTTTTTGGGTTTAGCTGTACGTTTATCTTCATTTCCCAATATCTCCTTTATCTTGTCTGTTAATTTTAAAATTAAAACAAAAACAAAACACTCAATCTATTGCTTAATTATTTTACATTACACTCGTAACTCGCTTGCAAGTAAATAAAATTGCAACCCTCAAACCCCGAAAAAATAAAAATAAGCTAAGAGATTCTTTCTTTCTTTATGACTGATTCTAACAAATCATTGGATTAACAAATATTCACATCCCTTTTTATATATGTCATCACCCTACTTGTACTTCTATAGTTTTTTCTTTATACCGATTCATCCGAAAACGCAAACGAACAATTAGATGAATCTCGAGGAGTGACAATTTTCTCCGGCGGTAGTGGCTGCAGCTGCCATTTCGCGCATTTCCCGCCTTTTAGCATATCCGTTTCCGATCGTCCGGCGTCAAACTGCCTAATCTCTTTAAGCATGGCCACAATATCTTTCATCATAGGCCGATCGGTTGCCTTATTGCTCACGCAAAGGAATGCGACCGCTAACGTTTGGAGCATCTCGTGCATTATTGGATCCGCTCTTCCTCGGAGTCTCGGGTCGAGAATTTCTCCCGGAGCCTTTTTCTCGGACAGATGATCTCTCACCCATTGAACCAAATGTGCACCTCTGGGTAGATCCGGATCCAATGGATGCTTTCCGGTTAACACCTCCAATAGTACCACTCCGTAACTATACACATCACTCTTTTCCGTTATACGTTGCACCGAGGCATGTTCTGTTCAGGAAAAAAAAATTGTTAGAAATTCTATATTTTTGAATTTGACAATAATATTATAACTTTAGAAATTGGAATTTTAATGATGAAATTTACCTGGAGCCATGTAACCGTAAGAACCAGCTAGCGGAGGCCGGTTACTCGGTTTCGACGAATCTCCATCGGTATATTCATCAGCGGAGACGGTTTTGGCTAAACCGAAATCAGCCAAGTACGGTTCGAACCGGGAACCCAATAAGACATTCATGGCTTTAACGTCGCCGTGTAGTATCGGAGGAAGGCAATCGTGGTGAAGATAAGCGAGGGCATGTGCAACACCTAGGACGACGTCGTATCGAGCTTCCCAGTCAGCTCCTCCTCTTCCTTTGCCGGCGCCGTGAAGCAGAGAGCTTAAACTTCCGTTGGGGAGGTAATCGTAGAACAGGAGTTTCAGATTCTTATTCGAACACCAACCCAAAAGACGGATTATATTCCGATGTCGAATCGATCCGAGGGTGTTGATCTCCGAGTTAAACGCCCCGGTTTCTTCTTTCGACCACATTTTTTTCACGGCTAGAGTTTCTCCGGATGGGATCGTTACTCTGTAAACTACGCCGGAGCTTCCAGTTCCGATCACGTTAGCCGAAGTCAAGTTTTTGACGATGTCGTCGATCGAGAAATCTAGTTTCTGATAGAGGGTCACTTCCCACGTATCTAATTCCTCTTGTTTTCCGGCGACTCGTTGTGCTTTGACGAGAGTGTAGATCGCCATGAGAACGAGGACTACGCTTGCGGCGACGAGTATCGACATGGTTAATTTCACGGCGGAGCGGTGCCGGCTTTCGATCTCGTTATCGGGTCGGGTCGAGATGAAAAGCCCTTTGTTGGATGCGAGAACAGAGAGTGGGAGTTTCCGGAAAAAGGGAGTGTTGGGTAATTCGCCGGAGAAATCGTTGAAGGAGATGTTGAGTGAGACGAGGTTTTGCAGATCGGCTAAGACGTTTAGGTTTCCGGCGAGTCTGTTGTGAGAGATATCGAGGATTCCGAGATTGACGAGGCTCGAGAATCTCGACGGGATTTCTCCGGTGAAGGAATTGCAGCTCAGGTTCAGAGAGATTGCTAGAGACGGGATTCGACCTAACTCGTTTGGGATTTCTCCGGTGAAGCCATTGTCGCCGAGATTGAGAAGCTGGAGACTCCGGCAAGAAGAGATCTCTCTAGGGATTTCGCCGGAGAGACGGTTCTTGGCGAGATTGAGCTTCGTGAGCTCGATTAACGACCCAATTCCAGATGGCAGAGAACCGGTTAGTGAATTATCGGAGAAATCGATGAACTGCAAGCTCTTTGGAAGCGTACCGGGTAACGAACCGGTTAAACCGTTGGAATGGAGATCCAGGAATTCGAGGCTTTCGCAACCGGAGATCGCCGGAGGAATGTTTCCGATGAGACGATTATCGCTAATATCAATAAAGTTGAGATTTTTTAAATTCCCAATCTCCGCCGGAATATTCCCTGCGAGTCTGTTTCCGTTGAGTCGAAGCCGGTAAAGATTCGTGCAGTTCCCAATATCCGGTGGTAGAAATCCAGACAAGTAATTAGAGAGAAGAAGAAGCTTCGTGAGGTTTCGTAGCTCGAAGATTCCGTTAGGAATCGAACCAGAGAGACCGTTGTAAGAGAGATCAATCGCTTGAAGCTCTCTGCATCGGGAAACACTCTCCGGAATCTTTCCGGTTAACTGATTCGACCACGCGAAGAACATCGTCAAGCTAGTTAATTTGCCTATCAACGGCGGAATCTCGCCAGAGATTTGGTTGTTATCGATCTCTAAATGAGTCAGCTTTGTGCAATTCGCTAGTTCTTCAGGGATTGTTCCCGAAAGCTGGTTAACGCTGAGCTGAAGCTCCTGGAGATTCGGAAGGTTCCCAAAGCTTCTCGGGATGTTTCCGGTGAGTAGGTTTTCCGATAAGTCGATGAGAAAAAGCTCCGGACAGTTCCCGAGCTCTGTCGGGATTTTTCCGACTAGATTGTTCTGCCATAAGAGAAGACTTTGAAGCTTCCTGAGACGCCCCAATGTTGTCGGAATCGATCCGGAGATTGAGTTTTGGTACAAGTAGAGGTTTTGAAGCTTCGTGCAGTTTCCAATCTCGTCGGGAATTGGACCAGACAAGAGTGACGTGTACAGAGCTATTGTCTGAACGTTTTTCAAGTTTCCAATCGACGCCGGAAGTCTACCGGAGAGACTTGTTTCGGCGAGGCCTAAAGTCACGAGACTCGCGCAGTTACCAATCTCCCAAGGAAGCTCTCCTCTTAGATTCTTGTTTCCACCTGCACGGAAGATCTCTAGAGTCTTGAGTTCTCCGATACTCTTGGGAATCTCTCCGGCGAGTTTGTTGTCGAAGAGAGTGAGCTCGACGAGGTTTGTGAGATTCCCCAGCTCCGACGGAATCACACCTTCGAGATTGTTGGTGTTGAGA